GATGAAAATTTGAAAACCAAGAGACTATACCCTAACTATGCGATTTTGTCTATAAAGATAGAATACATAAAAAATTTTGATCCAAAATTTGCAAGATGTGTAATTATAAATTCTGAGAAATTTATATTTTTTTACGATTTTACGCACATATTACTGAGACAATTTTTCTTCAATAAATATAAAAAACCTTAACTTACAAGTTTATTTTGCAGAATTAAATAATGAAATGAACAACCGTTACAGAGAGAAAAAATGTATTCCAAAGTTAAAAATCTTTTTTTATTAAATTAAACCCATAGGAAAACAGTTTAAAGTATATGCTTTCGTGAGTTGATCTTTTGGCATTTTGGCTTGAATTTTTTTTTCTCTGACCTTTTGCAACAAGCACTATATTTTGCCTTTGATCATCATTTGTAGATGCCTTCACAAATTCTTGTATAGGCTTAATGTTTCTTTCTGCGCTATCGTTAGTAGTATCGTTAGTAGAGATATTTTACAAACAAATAGAATTCACAATAACTTTTAGTATTATCCCAAGATTTTACTCCACCGTAAACCCATTGATCAACTTCGTTTTTTGAAATTCCAATAATTCTAAAAAGATACCAAGACTCTGGACCAACCAGAAGAGATAATGTTGTTTTGGAGTCAAGAACTGGAATAATTTAAGGATACCCAATATGAAATGTAGGCATAAGAAATTTAAGTAGGTTAAAGATAATGAAAAAATAAAGATGATAAACTTTTATTTTTTCATTATCTTTAATGTTGCAATCTCCAATTGCTAACACAACAAGCCGAGGAGTTAAGTACCAAGAGTGTCGTTTTATACTCTTTGTTAAAGACTCTCCAAATTGGTTATCGTATTGCTCTTGTATTTTAAGACTTGCTTTGAAAGTATCAAGGTCATACTTGGGTGCTTTTGAAGACTGAGAGCTTTTTAAAAACCATGGTGCATAAAAAATGGCGGTAAAAAAACTTCCCTTCCATACCTCTTTTTTGCCTTTTCTGTCATTATATTAACAACATTTTGTGTCATTTAAATGTAAGGAGGTAAAGTCCATTTGCCATAAAACAAGCCTCATGACAAGCGCCTGGTTGATGGAATTTGAAATTAGTTACATTTTCACCTAGATAAAAAAACAACAAGCTGCCAAAGGTTTCTATAATCAACTCTTGCAAAAGTATTTTTAAGCAGAGCTTTTGAACAGAATGTAAGGGTATCTTTCGCAAGAGTGCACATCACTGAATCAACTTCTAGGTTATCCTAAAAATAATATTGTAAAACTCATTTTTACAATATTATTTAGAGTGTTCATTTCTGTACAAACTTCATTCCACTTTTTTTTTTAATTTTAAATATAATGCTTTATGGAAACCTTTTGTCTTTCCTGTGAGTACTTTAATGAAGTGAGACATATGCAGCTCATATGTAATGCCTGCATAACAACCATATTAAAGGGAAGTTAGGTTGTATGCTTAGCAATTGCATTGCTCCAGCATATTTTCCCGTGTTACTACTGGTTGTATCGCAGCAGCAAGCAAACAGTTGATTAACACACTATTAATATTCTAAAAACTTTATTAGTTCAATTGCCTGGCATGCTCCAGTACCATTTTTTAATTGGACAATCCCAAGCAATATATCATCGCAACCTGGAGCATCTGGAGAGCTAACGCTCACAGCCAATCTGTCATAAACAAGAGATATTTGAAGGTCTTCTGAAATTTCTTTAACTAGTTTAGTGTCAAAATGTAGAACTAGTCTTTTACCTTTTAGTAAATCAATTATTTGCTTTCTTAGAAGGTCCCCTGTTGACTGAATTATCTGAAACCCTTTTCTATGAACAGAAGACCTAGAGATATTTATTTCTTTCAAATTAACATTAGATTTGGAAATAATGGCAGACATATTTGCGGTCTGAGGTATTATTCCAATATTATATCTTGCTGTCACACTTGATGTTGCTTCAATAAGCTCAGGAGTAAGCTCTATTATTATTTTAGTCATTTTCTTTAATCTAAAAATGCTTAATAAATAAATTTTTTATTTAAATTTGTTGTTGAGTTAATATGCCTCTATTAATAATAAAGTTGTTCTGGAAATAAAATAAATACTTGATTATAAATAAAAATTATTTTTAAAAATGTAGTAGTTTACAATTATCTTTTTTTTTTCTTCATAAGTTTTTCGTCAAATTCATCACCTGTTGAAGAGTCAAATTTGCAGTCGGCTGTTTCAAATCCATCTGAATTTTCACTACAAATTGCTTATTGTTTTTGTTTTTCTATAGTTAGAAACCCGAGTCTCCTCTTTTCAGTTCTAGCTCTGTAAGCTGTATCATATTTTTCCTCAATCAACATTTTCTTTTCATTCATTTGGTCTTTAAAGAATTCTAGATCATTTTCAACTACATCTAGATCTTAGCTGCTCTTAATTTCTGCTTAAATCCATTTTTGAAATATTGGAATACTTAATTCGAAAGAATACTTAATTTGAACTTAAATTATTCTACTAGAATGTTATGTTTTGTTTTATCTTTAAACTCAAGTGATTTTATTTTTAGCATTTTAGTGTATTTTTTAATGAATTTCTTTAATTTGTCCCTACGTAAATAATGAAAAAAATTATTTTATTGATAACAATTACAGTTAAGCTAACAAAAAACAAGTGCGAACTGAAAAAATATTCATTATTTTAAAGGTTACTAATTACCTTACTTGAGTTCCTTTCTGAATATAATCTCCAAAACCTGCTTCGATCCTAACAGAAATAAATTTGTCAACAACACAATTGATCCCAAAATGATTAACGCAAACTTCTTTAAAACACACAAGTTCAAATCCAAGACTTTTTTGTGGACACGCAATGTGAAACTTTGACGGCCTGATTCTTTAGCTTTTTTCAGTGTTTAAAAATAGGTAATATCTCAACACATTTCCCACAGAAGGCAGTTGGTTTGTTGGCAATTTATTTATAGGATAATTAAGAATGTAAACAGTTTTTCTAGGACTAATAGAGCAGTTGTATTTTCTTTGCTTTATTTTCGTTTTGGAACATTCCGTGTTAAAAACAAATAAAAACTGATATTGTGAACACTTCTGCACTAGTTAAAATTATTTAATGAGTAAATCTATTAGAAAAGTTTAAAAAGATTCTTAAGCTTATCTAATAAATCCTTCTGTATGATTTTGACAACAATGCTTTTTTTATAACAATAATTACAAAAGTAACAAAACAATGGGAAAAAATGTTATATCCAAATTTTTAAAATATACATCTTGCAATTGTCGACTAGATGAACTATAACTTATGGGTATTTTCTTTTTCTACACACCAAACCCCAAACATCTGAGGGTATAGTCTTTTTTTTTTTTTTTTTTTTTTGGGACACCCTATTGCGCATACGAATACACTTTAAAGTATGTAAATATAAAAGAGTCGACGGGAAATAACTTTATTCTGTAATGAATTGCCCATTTTGAGCAATGATCTTTTGCCATTTTTTAGGCAGCATTATAATTCCACGTTCATAAAACTTCTGGTTATTATCAATAAAAAACTGAACCAAGTATGATTTGACATCATCATCATTATTGAAATTTTCACCATTCAAGAAGTTTTGCAAAGATTGAAAGTAATTAGATGGTGCAAGGTCAGGACTATATGGTGTATGTGGCAAAACATCCCAACCAAACTTCAATAATTTTTGCTGAGTGATTAAAAATGTGTATGGCCTTGCATTGTCATGATGGAATACAGCACCTTTTTGATTTGTCAATTTGGGCAGCTTTTCTTCAACTGCATTGTTCAATTATGTTAGTTGCTCTATGTAGACATTTAAACATATCGGTAGGTGATGTTGTTTGAGCTGGTTCACCTGACGTGAACCAGCTCAAACAACATCAAAATCTATTCGGTTTGTCACAGTGTTGTACTGTGACAATCCGAATCGATTATTGCTTTGATTTTGTTGTCATCAACTTCAACTGGATGTTCATAGCGTTTTTCATGTTTGAGTGAAAAATCACCAGAACGAAATTTAGCAAACCAATTTTGACACTGACACTCTTTTAAAGCTCCGTCTCCATAAGCAGCACATTTTTGTGAGCTTGTAATGCATTTTTTCCTTTAAAAAAAGTAAAATATGACAAAAATGTTCTTTTTGATTTTCCATTTTTCAACAGACGCCAAACAAAAACTACACAACCAATCAAAAAATTTTTATATTTATTGACAGTTGAAGTACCAACTATCAAATAACAAAATGTGTTTGACTTTTCGATTATGTCAGCAAACCTAAAAATTTAACTAAAGCAATCTATGAGTGAAATTTGCAATTCCTTAGTTGCCAACCTAATAGATTTGTCTTTTGAGGAAAATGCAACTACAATATAGGTTAATTTTGAACGTATGTAGCCTAAAACAATATATAGTTTTAATATTATTATCATTGTAAGCAACGAAGATAAAAACCATAAGTGTTTTGATTGAATATCTTTTTATGGAACTTCAATAATGTTAGAGGATTTGTATATATTATAAACTAGAGGATTCATATATATTATAAACTATTCTAAATATTTATAATATATATTCTAAATTTATTAATTTTTTAATTCGAATAATAAATTTATTTTTTTTAAAGAGTAAAAAATTTAGTTTCAAATTTATTATTTGTTTTTTAAGGCACTTATATATTACATTTTGTTTGTAAAAAATTATTGATGGCTACAGCCCTCGCTAGTATACATTAAATGTTTTGACCAAAAAGTCAAATTTAATAGTAGCTAATAAATATTCTTTATTTTTATTGTGAAAGATGTTAAAGGTAATAAAAAAAATGTATGCTACTTATATTCATAAATCATATAAACAATAAACATTTGTAATAAACATTTTTAAAACATATGTGAACATTTTTAAAACATATGTGAACATTTTTAAAACATATGTGAACAACTATATAAAAGAATAATAAAATTTCAAATTAATTTACGAAATAGAATTCTTAGCTTCCTCTTCTGAAGAAAATCCAACAATTCCACAACCTTTGCTTTTTCCATTTTTTTCCATAACACGACAAAATGTTATTGTTCCATATTTTTCAAATAGTTTTTCTAACTCATATGAATTTATTCTCTCATCCAAATTTGTCACAAATAGTTTATTCATACAAGGTTGAGTTAGAAACGATGATAGATTTGTAGATGACGCACTCTTGTAAAAGCATAAATGTAAAGTAATTAAATACTCTCAAACACAAACATATATGTGTGTAAACTCTCAAACACACACATATATGTGTGTATACATTTATATATATATATATATATATATATATATATATATATATATATATATATATATATATATATATATATATATATATATATATATATATATATATATATATATATATATATTATATATATATATATATATATATATATAAATATACATATTTATACATATATAAATATATATATATATATACACATATATATATATACACACACCCACATATATATATATATATATATATATATATATATATATATATATATATATATATATATATATATATATATATATATATATATATATATATATATATATATATATATATATATATATATATATATACATTAGGGTGCTCTAGAAATGTATTGTGTAAATTATTTTTTAATAATTTGCACAATACATAAATATATATATGCACATGTATATATATATACACACACACACACATATATATATATATATATATATATATATATATATATATATATATATATATATATATATATATATATATATATATATATATATATATATATATATATTAGGGTGCTCTAGAAATGTATTGTGTAAATTATTTTTCTAAAAATATTCCTACCTGTAGATTTTCCCATTCCTTTATTTATTTTAGAATAAATAAACAAATTTCAAGCAATTTTGTAGTGTCTAAGCCTTACCACCAGCTCCCAAAAAATTAATAGCTTGAAGTTTTTTTAATGTAAATTTATAATATGTTTTGTTTACTTAAGTTATGAAAATTTGACACAAATTTTTGCCAATTATTACATAATTGTTACAAAAGTAAAGTTAAAGCAAAAATTTTAGATTTGTATGATGCTCATTGAACACTTCAAAAGAAGAAAGGATGTCAATCTAATAAAGCTAAAGAAAAACTTTTTTTGATGACCTGAAAAATTATTTTTATATTGCTCACCAAGATGCTCAAAATAAAATAGAAACTGATTGCCTTTGTGATAATGAGCAGAAAAAAGAAGATATTGAATTTCTTATGGCAGTTAGAGATCATAAGCAAGTTATTCTGGGATCAGAAGACCGAGCATGCAAAAGGAATATTACACAGAAAATACAGAGAGAAAATTGAAATGACAAGGAGTATGGTTGAAGAAAAAAGAAGACAAAATCTTTCAGCACAAAACCTGAAACTATAAGTCCTGAAGTAGACTTGCAATCTGCAAATGATTCTAGTTTTACAGTTATACTCAGACAATTCTGAAAATGAAGGTTTTGAAAACCCACCTAAATCTGCTACGAAACCAAAAAACATCCAAACTGATAAAAACAGAGTAACTACACTAGCTCTTCCACGGAAATGCCTCCTTGTGGGGTGCACTGGCTAAAACCTGGTGCAAACCATCATGCCCGCTAGATGGCAACTGCTATATATAGTGCTAAGATCTATGCCTTTGGCGACCAGCTAAACTATGATCAAGATAAAATAGAGAAACTGTGCCGTGTTTGCAGATTTAATGCACTATTCTACATAAAGGCGTAACTAGCCACCTCTTTTGCAGCCGATGCACCATCAAATGATCTCCAGTTATATCATGATCTTCACATGTAAAGGAAAACTGACCCAGAGGTTGGTAAAGCAACCATTCTTGCACTGAACAGGCACCTGTAATATCTGACTGAAGAACTTTTTCTCTTTTTTCAAGTTTGGTGCCATAATTGGAAAAGATATATATATATATATATATATATATATATATATATATATATATATATATATATATATATATATATATATGTATATATATATATATATATATATATATACATATATATATATATATATATATATATATATATATATATATATAATTATTAAATACAACTTTTGAAAATATTATTTGATCATGTTGCAGAGAATCCTGTTTTGAATATATATATATACATATATAAATATATAATATATATATATGTATATATAAAATAAATATATTTATATATGCATATATATATTTTATATATTTATATATTTGTGTGTATATATATATATATATATATATATATACATATATATATATATATATATATATATATATATATATATATATATATATATATATATACACTCTTGCATGGTAGTCAGAAAGTTTTTCCCATAAACTGTAGTTTTAAAGAGCGCGTTTATAAACCAGAGCAGAAAAAGTTTAAAAACTTAATTTTATTTTTTCTTAAATGATAGACTGCCTGCCAAAATCAAACCCTTAGTTGATGTAGCAGCACTCCCTTGCGAGTCAGGCTATTTGTCAGTTGATATAGCAGCACTTTGTTGTGAGTCAGGCTATAAGATAGTCAATGTAGCAACACTCCATTGCAAATCTGAAAGATTTTATCATGCATTAGATGGAGGCGGTGAGGCTAGGGCTATTGCTCTCGACATATCTAAAGTTTTTGACAAAGTTTGGCATGCTGGTCTTCTCCATAAGCTTGCTTCGTATGGTGTTTCTGGGAAAGTTTTTGAGATTATCAAATCATTTCTTTCTAACCGGTTTATTAAAGTCATCCTTAAAGGCCAACACTCTTTTTTATTTCCAGTAACTTCTGGGGTTCCCCAAGGTTCCATCCTGGGCCCTGTTTTGTTTTTTATCTACATAAACAACCTTCCTGACAACCTTTCATCTAAAGTAGCTCTTTTTGCTGATGAATCGACTTTATACTCCTGTCTTGATAAAAAGTCTTCTCTTTTCGATTGCCTAGAACAAGCAGCTGATCTTGAATCCTATCTCACTTCAGTAATAGATTGGGGTTCAGTGGCTTGTGAATTTCAACTCTAACAAAACCCAGTTGTTTACTGCAAACAACTACCGTAATATGGTCAACATTCCTATATTAATGAATGGCAATCCTCTTACTGAGTCCTCCTCTTTACGTCTTCTTGGATTATTGTTTACTACTGACCTTTCATGGAGACCATATATACAATTGATTGCTAAATTAGCTTTTGCTAAGGTTGCTTCTCTTTATCGTGCTCGCCATTTCCTTACTTCTGATTCCATTCTCTACCTCTACAAATCTCTTATTCATCCCTGTATGGAATACTGTTGTCATATTTGGGCTGGTTCTTCTAACGATTCACTTTCTCATCTTGACAAGGTCCAAAAACGCATTGTAAATGTTGTTGGACCTGGACTACCTGCTAAGCTGATAGTCCAGGTCCAACAATAGCCTCTTTCCCATCGTCGTAAAGTTGCATCTCTTTCTCTTTTCTACAAATACTATCATGGTCACTGCTCAAAGAAGTTATCATCTCTAGTTCCATCAACTAAAATTCATTCTCGTTTTACTCGTCTTTCAGCTAAGTCTCATTCGTTTACTGTATCTGTCCCTGCATGCTCTAAAAACTTTTATTCATCTAGTTTTTTTTACCCGCACTTCAATCCTTTGGAACTCTCTCTTATCTTCATGTTTTCCTGACTCATACAACCTTCAACTTTTCAAGTCTTCTGTCAATCGTTTCCTTGCTCTATTACTCTGTTCTTTTTTTTCCTAGTAACTCTTAACTTAATAGTCGTTGCTTGCAGCCTTGTTGGGAGTGAATGCAAATAAATAAAAAAATCACGTTACAAAATAGTCGATGTAGCAACACTCCCTTGTAGCAGAAGGCTGTAAGATAGTCGATGTAGCAACATTCTGCGCATGTTTTAAAAATATATTTTAACAATACAACAACAAAAACACCTTTAATTAAAAAAAACATTCTTGTCATTATTATTGCGGTTTTTTTAAAAAACAATAAAATTTAATGTACTTCCGCATTAATTGAATTGCTTTGACATTTTGAAGTCGATAAAATACGACAGTTATGTCTTGAAATATTTGTGTATATATATAAATATATATATATATATATATATACATATATATATATACATATATATATATATATATATACATATATATATATATATATATATATACATATATATATATATATATATATATATATATATATATATATATATATATATATATATATATATATATATATATATATATATATATATATATATATATATATATATATATATATATATATATATATATATATATATATATATATATATATATATATATATATATATATATATATATACTTATATACATAATTAATTATTAAAAACAAAAAATTAAATTAACTTTAATTTGAATTAACACACAGAAAATTAAAAGTTACATCTTTATTGGTTTTTTCCTCCTTCTCTTGAAAATATGAAACTTGAAGAGGTTTTGAATTAACCAAGTGACCATTCATTTGACTAAAAAAAAAAAGTAAATATATATATATATAAATAAATTATAAGGCATTTCTAACTTAACAAATTTTAATTATTTTTCTCTTACTAAGAGCTCCACAAAAAAATACCCACCATTGGGGACTTGATACATTCATCAACAGGGTTTTCACAGAAAAATTATATTAAAATTCTAGGACTTTCTAAGACCATATTCCTTTTTTTCCAGGATATTAAAAAAGATTGGAAATAAGAGTTAATCCTAGTAGATGAAGGATACATCGAATTGTTCATCAAAGTAGACATCGAGTACATTACCATTCAAAAATAAAGGAAGACCTAAATTGTTGCGATAACAATTAGCTCAAAAAAATTGAGTTTTATCTTTTAAAAATTGAGTTTAAGTTCTCCAGCCACTGAGAGATAAAACCTATCAGTTTATTAACGTTAACAAATAAAGTGTTTGTTGATTAAAAACTTAAAAACCTTGCCTATGATAGAAAAAAGACTAATGGGACGGTAGTTAGATGAGGAGAGAAAATCTGCAAGACTTTAACAGGTGTGTTGTCCAGACCACAAGCCGCAGAAGAGTTTAAGCAGGAAATCACTTTAAATACAGAACCTGGAGTGATACAAATGTCAAGCAATGGATCAGCTTGTTTGTTGACTATATCAGGTAGAATGTGATTTGTATAATCAAAAAATGAGATTGATGAAAAGTTATTTGCAAATAATTCAGCTTTATATTTAGGTTAGGAAACAAAATCTGAACCATGCAAGAGAAAGGGAATAATAGATTTGCTCTTATTATAAACATTGTTAAAGATTCTCCAGAAGTCTCTGGAGCCTAATTTCTGAGATGAAATATAAGACTTTATGACCTGAGAATAGTAACTTTGGCGTTAGACAAAACCTTTTTACAATGGTTTCTAGCAATAGTAAACAGACATCTGTCTTCTGGAGATTTGATTTGGCAATAAATATGGAAGAAATGGTTACGATTGGAATATGCACCTGCACAATAAGAGAAAAACCATGGAGAAGAGTGAGATTTGACTTGTAATCATCAAGAGTGAATAAAGGATTCCATGCCAATCTTGTAAATCATGCCTGAATCCAAGTTACATAAGAAACACATTTGTCAGCAGGAAGACAAAAGATTTTTTAGCATTTTCTGTTGCTTAATTTATTTAGCTTAAAATCTTCTATAGCTTGTAGTCCAGACAATATTCCTGAATTAAAAAGTGTTGTGAAGAACTATTTTCATTGGTCTTGCTAAATTACACTACACTTAATTACACTACACCCTAAATTACAAGAAAACGAGCAATGACTTGTTTTCTTGTAATTTAATCTCTAGTACAGCAAGATTAACAATTAAGAGAGTACATTTTGACAGGTTTGTACAAAATAATGTAAAGTCGTTCAACTTATTTTAAACAAATTTTGTTTACTTAAAAATCAAATTTTGAAAACAATGAAATATAGAAGTATAAAAATAGTTTTTTTTTTTGGCATTTTTTTTTGTTTGTATTTTTTTTTGTTTGTATTTTTTTTTGTTTGTATTTTTTTTTGTTTGTATTTTTTTTTGTTTGTATTTTTTTTTGTTTGTATTTTTGTTATACTTTGGGTAATATAAACAACATTCAATGTTATTTTTATTGTTCAAAATGTAAAAATATAAATGCCATAAAGTTATATTTTCATTTTCATTTACTGTTCATTTTGCATAGTTACTAGCTTAACTTTCTTAAAACATCAAAGTTATAAACAAGACTAATATTTGAAATAAATTCTGATAATTGTACACCAGCTTTAGCTTCTTTTTCTTTACCTTCTTGGCGCAAATTACAACCTGATGCAAACAAAAGTGAAAAAGATGCAATTAATAGCGCCAATCTTCTTTTCTTTGTTTTTTTTATTTGAAGTAAAATTCACCTGGGTTCTAAATATAAATATATGAAAAAACCCAGACACTACAGTTAATAGTGCCAGACACTACAGTTAAATAAGAGCAGAGCTATCTTTATGAATGGAGGCAGATAGAAGAATATTCTTATTATTAATTACAAATTGAACCGATATTGGTTCATTTTGTAGCCATTGTTTGTTATTCTCTTTGAAACAAATTTTAGAGCTTTTGCATATATGCCACCTTTTACCAAAGATGCTTTATGAAATTAGACAATTTATTATTTGCAGTTAAGTTTGTGTCATTTACAACTGTATACAATATATTAGGATTAGCTAACTTCAATTTTTCTTGTATTATATATGAATAAATATTAATATTTTTCATGTTTTAAATGTATAAAAACATAAATTTTAAACTTAGAAAATCTTATAAATATTTTATATATTTTTAGATGTATTAATATTAAAAAAGTTTGCAACACTAATCTAGGCTTATTGAAACCTAATTACTACATAAACATTTAGAATAAAATACATATAATGTTTTTGCCACATAAAATTGGATACATCAGTTAACTTTTAAAAATCATTATTATCAACCAGGCAAATATCCCCGAATGATAAACCAAAGTTATATTGATAATACTTATATTGAACAATGCGTTTCAAGTCTCAAATTACTAAACTACCTTGGACCATAAAAGTATTTAAATATATAAGTGAAATTTTAACTGAAAAAAGTACTTTAAATACGCTGTCATCTGAACTCATTTTATTTGACATAACTTATGTGCAAAATAGTGTTGCAATAGCTCATTTGAAAGACAATACTTGATTTTATTAAACTATGCAATAAAAAGAGAGGTTTTAAAATCATTACCTGGGTTATTCCATATCAAATCACCTAAAGGCTCCCAGGGTACCACCTCAGAATTGCTTTAAATTTTGACCACACACAGATTTTATGAAAAAAATACAATCTAGAAAATTTCAGCTTGATTGACCGATTTGTTCAAAAGTTATGATTGAATTAAAAATTACTGAAATACAACAAATTTGCATATCAGGAGCTTTCAGCAGTTTTGGTACTTAGGGTCACCACTTGTTAGAATAATCAAAATTATGCATTAAAAATTAATTTAGCACATGCAGCAGCCTATTAAAAGATCCCTTTTTTTTTAAATTATGATAAATTACATTGACTTTGCTGGCATAGAAAGTAGCGTAAACAGTTGAAATAAATTATGAAACTTTTTAATGTTGAGGTTCTATATATAGACAATCACCAAAAAAAATTTAATGACCTATACTCTATCTTATGACATGATTGTAACCTTTTGAGAGTGATGATATTTTTAAAAGGAGAACAAAAAAATACCACTTACCACATACAAAATTTTTACCTTAAATTTTATACAAACTATACTGTAAAAAAGTGCATTCAAAGAGTAAGATAGTCAGTTAAAAGAAAAAGTATGTATACATGAAACTAATTAGCTTATCTCTGATTTATGTAACTCATAATACTGTCATAGTCATTACTAGCAAGAATATAGTCACGAGCACTTATACTTTTAATCAATGGAACACTTATTTGACATATTATCTTGTCAAATGGAACCCAACACTGACTTGATCATGCATCGTTTGTCCATTTTAAATTTAATTTGTTTCTTTGCATAAACTTCACATTAACGTCTTGGTTTTCATTACAAATATCAACCACAAGCCCTATGTACCATTCTTCATCATAAAATCATGCAATATATTTACCGGGTTGAAAATTTGAAGGATTTTTTTTAATCAAATTAACATCATTTAACACATGAGTACCATAGACAGTATCACTAGAGATTCTTTGTAAAAACAATTTCTCTCCATCTGGTACAAAACAGTGATAGCTTCTTGTTCCCGAAACTGTGCGCATCCCTTTATATTGTTTCTCAAGGCTAAAAGTTGTTTCATGGTTATTGATATCGTCACTTGAAAGATAAAATATGCTAACACCTTTGATGTTTTTTTGAGCCCACGTAAACAGATCTTGTGGTGTATCGTAGACTACTAGACAAAAGCTAGACTACTGCTCGTAGACTAGCTTTTGCTGCTTCTCTTTTTATAGTAACTCCTATTCCATCACATGGACTTTTGCCATGTGACGTAGCAAAAAAGTGATGCTTAGCATTTATTTGGTGATCTACAATGTGATAAATTAAGTTTGTTAGACATTTGTAGTTTTTATACTGTGACGCAGCACCATCACTGAAGTATTTAACTTTATTCACTGTGGGTAGTTTGATTTTGACCATAGGGAGCAACTTTGTGAGAAAACAATGGACTGCTGATTGGTCATGACAAAGATGGTCAGAAATTAAACAAAAGCATTCACATTTAAGGTGATCTTTTTCATCTTTGTAATAAACAACAAATGGGTGTAAGGTAGCTTGATCGGTTTGCTAGTAAAACCCTTGTATAGCATCTTGTACAAGAAAACTATAGTTTTCTGCAAAATCCATCAGAATAATGCAGATATATTGGTCTAATGTTTATTTTGCCTCTGATAAGTAGGATGAATGTGCTTCTTTGTAATGACTTTGTATGACCTTTGTCACCACTTCTAAGTAGTGGTGACAAAGGTCATACAAAGTTTCATTTAAAGTTTCAATAAATTCACTAATGCTTGTTTGGACTGTAATAAGTGCAGTTCGGTCAGTTGACACCCATTGTTTATATGTGATCTGATAATCAAAATCAAAATCATTCTTTCCAAACACATTTTCCAAGTAAGTCTTCAAATTTATTTTACCAGGGCAGTTGGAACATAGATAAATGATGCAGTTTCAACTATCTATATTACAAACACATACTTTCATTAAATCTTTGTAATATATTAACTGGCTGTTAGGAAGAGTAGAGCACATCAACTTAGCATTTTTATGGTTAGAACATACACAAACTGAGTGGCTTCCACTAATATCAACAGTAAGGCACCACTTTGGCCTTAGTTCACAGAACTTGCTGAATCCAACTTTGTGTTCAGGGTATATCTTCTTAAATTCCAGATGAAGTTCTTTTAAACAAACTAATATTAAGCGTTTTTGTTTATGAACTTT